GTATACAATTAAATATATGTGTAAAAATCAAAACATTGAAAAATGGAGAAACCGTACATAAATAAAATAAAAAAGATATAACAAATAAATATATTATAACAAATAGATATATGCCAACTGTTGAACGTATTCAGAGAAACTCACAGACACAAAAATCATACACAGTTGTGTACACAGCGCGTCATTGAATCGCGGAATAGTCGCGGAGATCGGAGGGCAAGCGGGGCGGTTGCTCGTAGCGCCAACGAGCTCCGTACGAACTAACTAGTAGCAATCGGATGTCCACAACTACGTCGTGTCGATAATGTAACTGCTCTTCCTTCCTACTTTCTTCTTAAAACGTAAAAGTATTGGCCATTTACTTAATATTTAACGTTGACAAATAACATGTGTATATATATATGTGTTTAATAGATGGATCTATTAATGTCTCCGGTAAATGGAAGGAACCTTTATTGTAAAAGTCTCGTTTAAAAAAATATATGTATATGTAATATTAATATTTATATATGTAGCCACTAAATAAATATAATTCTATTATATTATTATTTTGTTCTATTACATCTATATAGTATTGTGTATACAATTAAATATATGTAAAACTCGAAACATTAAAAAATGAATAAGGCAAATCGTATATAAATAAGATGAAAAAGATATAACAAATAAAAAAACCAAATAAATTAATTTTTTCTGTATGATTTCTGTGTCCGTGAGTGTTTCTCTGAATACGTTCTACAGTTGGCATATATCTATTTGTTATAATATATTTATTTGTTATATCTTTTTCATCTTATTTATATACGGTTTACCCTATTCATTTTTTATTTTTTCGATTTTTACATATATTTAATTGTATACACAATACTATATAGATATAATAGAATAAAATAATAATATAATAGAAATATATTTATTTAGTGGCTACATATATAAATATTAATATTAAATATACATATATTTTTTTAAACGAGACTTTTAGGAGGAGCTAGGGCTGTGTTCAGTTAAGCAAGATGGAACGAACTAATGCAGGAAATGCAGGAAATACAGGAATTGGAACTAATGAATTCCTGTATTTCCTGCATTTCCTGCATTAGTTCGTTCCATCTTGCTTAACTAAACACAGCCTAAGGGTAAGAGAAACGGTATTCTCTAGCAGTAAATACTATAATTGGTCAATTCATCGAAATCTGCTACAGTTAGTTAGTACGGCGCCCGTTGGCAGTACTTACTCCTAGGGAATACCGTCTCTCTTACTCCTAGCTCCCGGGGCTACGAAACGATTCATTGGTCTAGTTTCCACCGAAGCATTAATTCACACCTAATGCGACGTAGAATCAAATTTAAGTCGATGGAAACACGTCGAATTGCACTCAATTCACTTTTTCTTCGATCTATAAGTTTTACCGGAGTGGCAGCAAATTGACATACAATTTTAATCGGTGGAAACGTTTGAAACTAAATAATGCCAACCTCTATTTTTCATTATGTCTGCATTATGTCGGATCTTGTTAAGAAGTCGATGCAAGTTGAAAATAAAAAGATAAAATATATGATTGAATCATTTCCGCGGAGTCAATTAGAAGTTTCTCGGATTATATTCTTTTCAGGTTATGTCTGTTTATATTTACACAAACGAGTTTTAAGTTGGCTCTACTGAAATATTAATTTTTCTTACTTCTATTCTACTTCCAATGGAAACGGAACACTAACTTTGATCTGTACCTGAGTGGAACCGAATTGAGGGTTTCGGTGGAAACTAGACCATTGACGCCGACTGTACAGTTTTGGCGGAATCTCGCAGTAAGGACCACGATGTAAGATAGGTCTAGTTTCCACCGAAACTCTCAATTCGGTTTCACTCCGGTACGGATTAAATTTAGTGTTCCGTTTCCATTGGAAGTAGAGTACTTAGGCCTGTTCTACAATACAGTCGTAAGCCGTAAGTCGTAAGAAATTGACCAATCACAATCAATTATTCTTCTGTAATTTGTCTGTAATTGGTCGATTTCTTACAACTTACAGTTTACGACTGTAGTGTAGAACCGGCCTTATAGATCGAAGCGAAAGCGAAATCAGCGCAATTTGACAGGTTTCCATCGGCTTAAATTTGATTCTACGTCGCATTAGGTGTGAATTAATGCTTCGGTGAAAACTAGACTATAGTAAGGTGGTCCGACTCTATCCCCACTCCTGTGATCTTAAGTAGGCCCATACAGCACAGAACATTCCGGTTATGTTGCTATAATGTTACATCATTGCAAATTGCAATGTAATGTAACAACAATATTATAAAAACATTGCAATTGCAATAAAACAATAATAATATTGCAGCAATGTTTCCAAAATAATGTAATATAACAGCAATATTATAAAAGCACTGAAATTGCAATAAAACAATAATAATATTGCAGCAATATTTCAAAAACGATAATACAAATATAATATCATAATTTTAAGCTAAATTAGGCAAAAAAGATCATTTTACTACACTTATAAAACCAGAATGAAAAATA